TATGGTCCAGAAATCTCATCTCGGAAATGCAGTACCATTATGGTATAAAGTGTAGTTACTGGTACTGAAAGAATCAATGTCAGACTCTGTGGGCCTTTATGGGAACGTGGAAACAAAAGAAGGGAGGTAAATGAGTAATGAACATACCCGTACAAAAGTAGCCCTCTTTATGGTCTTTCATACTGCAGAACTCTCCCAGAAATTATTTTTTTCTTTTTTTGTTTTTGTTGTATTTTGTTTTTTATTTTTGTAGGTACATAGTAGGTATATACATTTATGGGGTACATGAGATGTTTTGGTATAGGCATGCAGTGTTCCCAGAAATCTTTTTAACTGCCAATTTAAGATTGATTTATAGTGTTTATGATTGTGTTAATTGTATTCAACTATTATTAGTGCTTTTCTGATTTTTGTAAGTCTGTTTTAAATTTGATTTTTATCTCATTACCTACCACAATGCAGGTATTTAGTAAAACTCAGATATTCAATGAATGAATGAATAATAGTCCTCTTACATTAAAATTATAAAACCACAAGAGCATTAGGAAAGTAACACTAGCCACAAAGCTGAGAGTCAAAGAACTCTGGGTTCAGTCATGGCTTTGCCATTTGTTTGTAATATGTCCTTGGCAAATTGCTTAACCCCTCTGTGACTCAGGGCTTTTTCATGTATTAGATTGGAGAAATCTGTAGGATTATTGTGAAGATTGAATGAGAGAGTGTGCATGGACCATTTACCATGGTGTTGGGAACTAAAGTGTTAACCACCATAATGAAGACAGTGATCATGATAATGATGGTGACTGATAAAATCGGACCTATGTCTTGAAGCACTCTGAGTAACTCCTTATTAATTAAATAAGATTGTAGGGTTTTAAAATTATTTCCTGCATTATTTAGGAACAAGGAGCTGTTGGTGATGGATTTTTGCTAATTAGTAATGCATTTATTTGTTTGTTACTTTGGCAGATATCAGGAACAAATACTTTTAATCCATGAGTACCACTAAACAGTATCTATAAAAGCATTCACAATATAGCCTAGGAAGTCAGACTCAAGGAAGAGGTAATGAAGGGAGAAGATGTAGGAAAAAGACTGGAAAATATAAGATGCATGGAGTGGGGGTTGCTGTGGGAAGATGCTGTTAGTAATTGCTTCAGGGGCCATTGATGAAGATGGGTCAGAGTTTCCCTAACCTTGATTAAAGTTAAGGTGAAAGAACTTTTTTTTTTTTTTTTTTTGAGTCGGAGTTTCGCTCTTGTTACCCAGGCTGGAGTGCAATGGCGCGATCTCGGCTCACCGCAACCTCCGCCTCCTGGGTTCAGGCAATTCTCCTGCCTCAGCCTCCTGAGTAGCTGGGATTACAGGCATGCGCCACCATGCCCAGCTAATGTTTTGTATTTTTAGTAGAGACGGGGTTTCACCATGTTGACCAGGATGGTCTCGATCTCTTGACCTCGTGATCCACCCGCCTCGGCCTCCCAAAGTGCTGGGATTACAGGCGTGAACCACCGCGCCCGGCAGATGAAAGAACTTCTAAGACTTCCCTTGCATTTCTGTATGATTGCCAATTTGTAGGACAACCAGCAAAATCCAGAATGTGGAAGATTCTACAGGACACACAACCCAGCTTCTTTAGCAATTAAATTAGAAGGGGAAAAAAAGGAAAGGGGATTGGGGAAATCCTATAAATTAAGAGAGATTTAAGAGATATGTCAACTAACCTACAATGCATGAACCTTGTGTGAATCTTCATTCCAACAATTCAACTGTAAAATAAATTTGGGACAATGGAAAATGTTAATACTGACTGGATATCAAGCAATTAAGAAATTGCTCATTTTTTTCCAGTGTGATTATAGTATTATAGGTATTATTTCTTTTTAGTATTGTCTAAAGATGTTATAGATTTTTTTAAATTTACATCTGTAAAATATTTTTAAATGAGTAGGATTACAAGAAGAGTAGATAAAAGAATATTTCCTTCTTAGAAAAAGGAAATATTAAAAATCACAAGCTAGATCATACTGGTTGGGTTTGAGGATTGCTAAATATAATTAAAGTTTGTTCACATAATCCTTTGTTTTGTAAGGTGGAGTGATCATTATGACAATTCAGTGGCTTCTGAGCACAGCAATGATATGATCAGATCTGTACTTGGGGGAGGTTTATTGAATGAAACGGTGTAGATAGAGGCTACAAGTAGAGCCATCAGGAGGCTTAATCAATTGAGAGTCTGAACTAGGGTAATTACTGTGGAAATTTAAGAGAACAAAACCCACCTGAGGCCCTGTTATTCTTATCTTTTATCTCTCCCTTGGTAATCTTATCTAGAATCCATTGGCCTGAGACACTATATATGGGAGAGAGATGAAAGTCAGCCGTAACTCCAGGATTTGACCCTGAGTGACTGAAAATTAACAAATATTTGTTTCTGGAAGAAAAAGTGTCCTGGTGGCGGCTGTAGTGGTTTTAATTTGGCACACGCTAAACAGGAAGGGTGACTATGAGTTTGCCTGGAACCATCTATGCCTATTGTCCTAGCATAATTATCATCAAAAGTGCTCTCTTTCATATTCAAAGATGTCCCAGTTTTGTATGGTCACCCTAGAAACTAGAGGTGAAGCTGGATGTGCAGAACAGAAACTAGAACCAACAAGTCATTTTCTTTTATTTCTCTGATGTTTTATTGACCTGAGAGGTACAAAGATAAAATACACAAGGAGGCTATAGACAGAAAACAGGAACCAGGTTTGGAAATTCTCTGCACAGGGGTGATCAGTGGTAGCAGAGGGAATTTCTAGTGAAAGAGAGCAATAGGGAAAGTAAAAGATCCAGCTATTGAAATGAACCTGGCAGTTCAGAAAGAGTGGCAAAGGGGTAAGAATTGACAATAAGAGACTGCCACCTGAGACTGTTTCACATGGCCACACATATCCACAATGGAAAGATGATTTTCCTGCATTGCAAAGGTTATTCTCATCAACCAAGCCTGCAACTAAAGGGAAGAGTGATAATGGAAAGAGGACACATCCACTTGCCAGGTTACTTTTATCAGTTGATGACATGACCTATGTTTTGGCTAGATCAGCCTTTCGCAAGCATGCACCTGCAAAATAGAATTTGGGAAAAAAAATTCTTTGATATGGCCCTTTACCAAGTGGTTCAGTGTGTCTTAAATATATTTAGAGCAAAGGTCAGAGTTTAAGTTGAATCTCCAGTCACGCTTTTAAAGATATTTTGTAACACTAAATTTAATTTTAGGATATTATGTAGGTAGGTATTCTGTGGGCCAGGGCTGGTTAATTTAGTCAGTTCATTTATAGTATGAATTTACAGGATTTAGCTTTGGTCTGAGAAAAACTGGCCCCTGGCCCAGACTGTATACCAGGCAGTCCTAAAGATACACAATTCGTGTTAAGGAAAAAACAGATTCTGTTAATCTTTACAACTTATATTAGTTACTCTTAAATAACATTTATTTCCATGTGACTTACATATTTAGATAAAATGACTTTGGACCCAAGCCACAATAAGCTAATAATGCATTTTCCCACACAACTATACGATTACAATGAGACCTTGATCAACGTTTACACAGAAAGAATTGCTCATTAATCTTTGATTTAAAAAATAATAATAAGGTACTTGGTTTTCTAGAAAGAGGATCTGCATACTAAGTACTCAATTAGTTTGAATATAGTTAGATTATTATGTCTGTGTTTATTATTATTATTTTTTTTAAGACAGAGTTTCACCATGTTGGTCAGGCTGGTCTTGAACTCCCGACCTCAGGTGATCTGCCTGCCTTGGCCTCCAAAGTGCTTGGATTATAGGCGTGAGCCACCACGCCCAGCCTCTCTGTGTTTATTAAGCTTAATTTGTAAAGATTTTTGGCATCTCCACTTCTGTGATCAAACAGTATATAGTGTTCAAGACCAGCCTGGGCAACATAGTGAGACCCTGTCTCTACCAAAAAACAACAAAACTTAGCCAGGCACAGTGGTACATGTCTGGCTAAGTGCCAGCTATTCTTGAGGCTGAAGTATGAGAATTGCTTGAGCCCAGAAGGTAGAGCCTACAGTGAGTAGACATTGTGACACTGATCTAGCCTGGCCAACAGCAGACCCTGTCTCGAATCGAAAGAAAACAAAACAAAGAATCAGTTACAGACATGATGGCCTTTATGCTTAAATACCTCAGTGCGCATTTCTTATTTCTCTTATGTAACCACCAAACAATTCTCAAAATTAAGAAATTAACATGGGTACATTACTATTCCCAAATCCATATACCTTGTTCACATTTTGACAGTTTTCTCAGTAATGTTCTTTATGACATGGCCCAGCATGGTAGCTCATGCCTGTAATCCCAGCACTTTATGAGGCCAAGGATCACTTAAGCCCAGGGGTTTGAGATCAGCCTGTTGCAACATAGCAAGACCCCATCTCTACAAAAAAATTAAAAATTTTGGCTGGGCATGGTAGCACATGCCTGTGGTCCCAGCTACTCAGGAGGCTGAGGAAGGGGGATAGCTTGAGCCCAGGAGGTCAAGTTGAGGCTGCAGTGAAGTGTGATGGCACCACTATACTCTAGATTGTACAACAGAGCAAGACCCTGTCTCAAAAAAAGAGAAACCAAGATCTAAATGTTTGGTGTTCTCATTGCTACTGGTGTATAATTACTTCTAGCCCCACTCAGTGGACAGACTTAAGAAGTGTTAGTGTCTGTGCATGTGTGTGTGTGTACAGTTGGACACATATCTATATTTCTATATGTATAACTTCAGATTTATTCAAGTTCATACCCTACACCAGAGGATTAATGATTAATCCTTTTTTTTCTTTTCCTTTTTCCTTTTTTTTTTTTTTTGAAACAGAGTCTCACTCTGTTGCCCAGGCTGGAGTGCAGTGGCATGATCTCGCCTCACTGCAACCTCCGCCTCCCAAATTCAAGCGATTCTCCTGCCTCAGCCTCCCGAGTAGCTGGTACTACAGGTGTGCGTCACCAAATCCAGTTAATTTTTGTATTTTTAGTAGAGACAAAGTTTTACCATGTTGCCCAGGCTGGTTTCAAATTCCTTACCTTAAGTGATTCGCCTGCATTGGTTTCCCAAGGTACTGGGATTATAGGTGTAAGCCACTGTGCACGACCCAGAGGATTAATTCTATCTTACCTATTTTCATATCTGTAATTCTCTTCTTCAACAGCGAGAAAAGTGGCTTCCTTTATCTACAATATATTTATTTGAGCATTTTTAGAATACCCAGAAGGTTGTTTCAGAATTAATAGCCAGTGCTTTTATAAAAAAGAAACGTGTGTATAATTTTTTTTTCTTGGTTATCAAATTATTAACATAGAACAATAGTCCTCAACGTGGGACATTTTACCTCCCAGGGGATGTTCAGCAATATCTAAAGACATTTTTAGTTGTTGTGACCTGGGGGGTGGGGTACGGTGAGGGTCTACTGAATCTAATGGATAGAGACCAGGAAAACTACTAAACATCCTACAATTCATAGAGTAGTCCCACAGCAAAGATTTTATTCAGCCCAAAATGTCAATAGTGTTAAGGTTGGAAAACTCTATCACAGAACAAGGAAAATATCTACTTGAAGAATTAATGTCAATGTTTTTGTCAGACCACTTGAATGTAAGATGTAGGCATTATGATGCTTCTCTCCTAAATATTCCTTTATTAAAAAAGGAGCATTGTTCTACATAATGACAAATCCAGAAATGGGGGCCAGGACCTTTGCAGACTCCAGTGGATAGTGATGAAAGAGCTGTGAGAGTTTTGTAGCTAATGCAACAGTGTCTCTGTAAAGTCTCTCTCTCTTTATCTCCATGCCCCCTCCCTGGACAAAAGACCTTTTGAAGGAAGAATTAACAGGTTGACTAGAGTAGATGAATCCAGAATCAATTTTTTTTTTTCCTTTTTCTTTTTTTCTTTTTTTGGAGACAGAGTCTTGCTCTGTTGCCCAAGCTGGAGTGCAGTGGTGTGATCTTGGCTCACTGCAATCTCCGCCTTCTGGGTTCAAGGGATTCTTGTGCCTCAGCCTCCTGAGTAGCTGGGATTAGAGATTCTTATCACCACACCCAGCTAATTTTTAGTAGGGACGAGTTTTAGCCATATTGCCCAGACTGTTCTCAAACTTCTGACCTCAGGTAATCTGCCTGCCTCAGCCTCCCAGAGTGCTAGGATTATAGGCATGAACCACCATGCCTGACCTAGAATAAAATTTTTCTAGAGAGAAAAATAGGATATAATCTATGAATATGAAAGTATGTATATGTAATTTCCAAAACCTATTGTAATTATATTGTGAAAGTTATTCTTAGCTCTTCTTTGATGGATTGAAGTTATTATGCTGAGGTACTTATAAGCCAAAGTGATACTCAAATAGAATACACTAGAAGAATATGGCTTACCTGATGATATGTTTATTACAGGCAGTGTTCAGTAGCAGAAGTTTTAATATAATGAAAAAAGAGCAGAGCGACTGGAGAGGAAGGAGGTTAGGGGAAGGGGCATATTTGAAATAGAATGCTGGATTTAATTTATTTCAGTGAAACCACTTAGGTTACATCATCATTTAATATATTCAGCAGATATTTTGTTGTTTTGTTTTGTTTTGTTTTGTTTTTGTTTGTTTTTTGAAACAAAGTCTTGCTTTGTGGCCCAAGCTGGAGTATAGCGGCGTGATCTCGGCTCACTGCAGCCTCTACCTCCTGGGCTCAAGCAGTTCTCCTGCCTCAGCCTCCCATGTAGCTGGGACTACAGGCAGGTGCCACCACGCCTGGCTAATTTTTTGTATTTTTAGCAGAGACAGGGATTCACCATGTTAGCTAGGTTGGTCTTGATCTCCTGACCTCCTTTGTGATCCGCCCGCCTCAGCCTCCCAAAATGCTGGTTCACAGGCGTTACCACCGGGCCCAGCCCAGATATTTGTTATATGTGTGTGTTGGGGGAAAGGTGATGACAAAGTAGGCTCAGTAGAGCTTTCAGCCTAGTTTTTATTTTGCGTTTCATAATAAGGATAATGTGCTAAAATTTAGCTGCTTTTTGACGAAGAGTTTATTTTTGTTATCCATATTCAGTTAAGTTCCAAGTAAAATTTTTCTGACTGGTTATCAAGAAATTTCAAAATGATGAAGAAGAATAGCATTTTGCTCATCTCACTGAATTTCAAGTCTTAATAAGCAATGAATTATAATCTATCACTGTAATTATTTGTTTTGATGCTAAATTGTGAATATATAATTTATGTTAACATATATTTTATAGTGTCATCACCATGATTACTTATATATATAACCGTATTTGTGTTTTCTCCCAACTACTAAAATGCTTACTAGAGTTTGCTTCTAAGTTTTATTTAACTCAGTGATTCTGTTGTTTAACTATGTATGTGTAAACATGAAAGAGATTACCAGTCTTTTATTGTAGAGATTATAGTGTGATACTAACTCTTGCTTTTGAAATAAACATGTTTTTGTCAGATGACTCGCAGGGTGCACAGTCAGAAATTGAGGCAAAACAAGAAATACAGCATCTTCGAAAGGAATTGATCGAAGCCCAGGAGCTAGCTAGAACAAGTAAACAAAAATGCTTTGAACTTCAAGGTGAGATCAAGATTACTTTGGCTCTTTAGGGATGTGTGGAGGCAGCACAATATAAATGGATGGTCCCAAACTTGGAGTCTGGAGGCACGTTTCAGATTCACAACTTTATGAGATATGTGATCTTGTTATGTTTACTTGACCTCTCTAAACTTGTGTTTCAGGTCAGTAAAATGAGAAGGGTTACAGTTGCTCTACCTTCACACTATTGATGTGAAAATCAAGTAAGATCTTTACTAATTGAGAGATCTTAATAGTTAATTGCATATTAAGTAAAACAAAAGGAAAACTCAAATTTCTAAATTTTAGTTACAACTAATGTTAGCTAATGTCCTGGCCACTTTCTTTTCTAGTAGCTCACTTAATCCGTAGTGTCATAAGCCGGTGGCATCTGTACAGTTCCCTAGAGCTTGCATTTCTGTATCATTCACAGTAACTACCTAGTTGCAGACAATTAGTAACTCAAAAGAGTCTTAAAATGAGAAAGTGAATGACCTATGGAGTCCTCATGTTCTCCAAGATGGCCTTCCTGCCTAGTAGGAAGATTTAAATCCCAGGTGGGAACTGGGAACTTCTTGTTACTACTTCTTTCCTGCTTCTCAAAGAAATTAGAATTGGTATTCACTTAACTTGAACCTTTTGGAGGATCCAGGCCGATATATTAAATTACAATGAAAAAATATTTAGTATACAGCAATTATTTAGTTTAGTGTTTACTATGTGCTTGGCAGTAAATATGAGAATTTTAAGTCTTTTTAAAAATTTAAGTTCAAATGCTGATTAACAATTGTGAAGACTGCTTGTCATGTTAAGGAAAGAACATATTATCTTGGTGGTCCCAGGTCCAGAAAAGTCTACTACTCAGTTGAATAGATTTATTACTCACTACAGTTTTGTGCTCCTAAAATCTTTAAACTAACTACTAATACTGATAATATTTGCTCCTTAACTTTTGTTTCTTTCAGTTAGCTTTTAGGAGAGAATTTTAAAAGAAATTTCTATCTGCTCAACTCAATACTTTCATTAATTCACAAAACTATTAATAGATACCGTGTTTTTACATTTAGCTCTTTTGGAAGAAGAAAGAAAAGCATATCGAAATCAAGTTGAGGAATCCACTAAACAAATACAGGTTCTTCAAGGTATGGAAGGCCCCAAGGCTATTTGAGATAGTTATTGTGTGTTTGTTTTTAGTGATTCAAAAGGAATAGAGGCCCGGTACAGTGGCTCATGCCTGTATTCCCAGCATTTGGATGCATCACCTGAGGTCAGGAATTCGAGACCGGCGTGGCCCTCATGGCAAACCCCTGTCTCTACTAAAAATACAAAAAGTAGCTGGGCATGGTGGCACATACCTGTAATTTCACCTCCCCTGAGGCAGGAGGATCACTTGAACCCAGGAGGCAGAGGTTGCAGTGAGCTGAGATTACACCACTGCACTCCAGCCTAGGAGACAGAGCAAGACTCTATCTCAAAAAAAAGGAATGGAAAGTAAGAAAGCAGAGAGTCCCCATTAATCATGGCTTTGATTCTCTAGAACCTCACATTTTAACAGCTCTTGGTGGAGCTTTATTTATTTATTTTTTTAAGAAAATTCCAGGGAAGATGGTCCAGTACTCCAGTATTTAGACAGAGTAGAAAAAGCAGAGGTGGAGATTTGGAGTTGGTAAGACTGTCACTTTGTGGGTTATGTCATGAGTTCCTACAGAGGGCCTTTGGATAGGAAATCTATTTGAGCCACTCTGTGCATCAGCACTTTGAGCTTGCTGGTATGTGTATATATTAGTTGCTCGTGTAGATGTATTGACATCTAATGCTCACAACACACTTGTATTTCAAGAAAAATTATATATCACATGGAATAGGATAATGGTCTCTGCACTGACTTCATTGATAATGGCTATTCTTCTTATCACAATTTTGCTATTTCTTTGTCTGGGCTATCACAGGGTCATTACAGAAATTTCCAGAAAGACCTCTGCCTGTCAAGTGTTGACTTCCAGCTGGAGCTCCTGGTGTATTATGAGGAGATTGTATAACTCAGGAGAGGTCTTCCTTTCCCATGCCATTGTAAAATTCCTAAATTTTTTTGTCTTCTTGTCAAAGAAGGAGCTAATGTCTTAAAATTTTAGCTTGAGAAATAGGTGGGGAAGAAATTAAATAGACAAGTAGTCACTATTCAGAAGAGAAGAAAGAGTCATTGTATGAAACCCAAGATACTTGCCCAAAAATATCCCAGAGAAAAACTAGTCTTTTTGGTTTTGTTTTTTGAGTGAGACATTTGAATTATTTAAAATTAGAATTTCTAAGTTATGTCGTATGTGGTAAATTTTTTTGTTTTGTTTTTTGAGACAGAGTTTCGCTCTTGTTGCCCAGGCTGGAGTGCAATAGCTGTATCTTGGCTCACCACAACCTCCGCCTCCCGTGTTCAAGTGATTCTCCTGCCTCAGCCTCCCGAGTAGCTGGGATTACAGGCATGCACCACCACGCCCGGCTAATTTTTTGTATTTTTAGTTAGTAGAGATGTGGTTTCTCCATATTGGTCAGCCTGGTCTCAAACTCCTGACCTCATGATCCGCCCCCCTCTGCCTCCCAAAATGCTGGGATTACAGGCGTGAGCCACCATGCCCAGCCTGTCATATGTGTTTTTAAATTGAAAGCTCTTAAAACTCCTATTGTAGTTTAATACCATTACCCATTAGTTTGTATAAATCTGATTTGAATCTCTATTTTCATCCTAGACTGTGTAGGGGCAATTTTTCCTAAAGGTTCTGTGATATAGTGCTGCCTTTGTTTTAAACCTGTCTTGCCCAGGCATCATTGAGTGCCCCGTAGTGCCAGCATATGTATTTCACAGCTGTATCAACAAATCATGATCATTTCTGGCCATTGTGCCCTTTCAGATTCCAAACTTATTACCTCTCAGTCCTTCCTACAAACTTAGAAAGTCTAATATCTTCTTAATGTTTACTTACATAGCAACTTCCCTTTCTCCCACCACTAAATCCTCTTATAATTATTTTCCTTTGAAACTTTTTAAATCTACAATTTCCTTATAATATGGTAACCAATATTAATTTTCTTATTCTGCACGAAGCTTTTTTTTGTTTGTTTTTTGGGTTTTTTTTGAGATGGAGTTTCACCATTTTGACCAGGGTGGTCTCAAACTCCTGACCTCAGGTGATCCACCCACCTTGGCCTCCCAAAGTGCTAGGATTACAGGTGTGAGCCACCACATCCAGCCCACCAAGTCTGATTTTATACAAGTTGTTTCCGGTTTGGGTCATGAGCACAAAACCAGATATTTTAAATATATATATTTGCCGCTTCAATGAGGTGGTATTCATTAATTTTATTAACTCATTAATTCAACCAATAATCCTTGATTGTTTTCTATGTCAGATATTGGGATATCCCCAGTACTTGACAGCCGTGAGCAAAACAAATGTCCTACACACATGAGGTATACAGTCTAGTAGAAAAGATAAACAATAAGCAGATTAATAGATAATATGATGTCCAATAAGGACTTCAAAGAAAAATAAAGCAGGGTAAAGAGCCAGAGAACAACAGTGGGCTGTTTTTTTATAGAACTCATCAGAAAAGGCATCTTTAAAGAATTGACATTTTAATAGAAAAATTAATCAAGAGCATCAACTGTTTAATGCTTACCATTTGACCAAGCAATTCTACACATAGGATTCACCCTAAAAAAAAAAAAAAAAAAAAAAAAAAAAAAAAAAAAAAAATAACATGGAATAAAGTGTTTAAACACTGAACAGCCTAAAATATCAAAAATAAAGGGTTGGGCAAATAAGTTATATATACCATAACTATTTTTTGTTGAAAGAGTTTCATCATACTCCAGCTCTCTCCTGAATATTAAAAAAAAAAAAAAAAAATTTCATCAACTGAAGGATGGGGAACACTGTATATATTATGATCACTCCCTATTTAATGTTTGTTTTTATATGTGTATAAATGTATAGAAAAAAATCTAGAAGGATAAATACCAAAATGTTATAAGTAGTTTTCTGTGTATTGGGGAGATAAAGATCACTGGTTTTTTTTTCCTCTTTGATATCTGTATTTTGACACTTTCTGCATCAAATGTGGATTTTTTATACACTTTAATCAAAAGCAACAGCTCTGATAACCCAGGCTATGCATTAACTACAAACCTGTATGGACTGTTCTTTTATTTCTAATTCCAATGGGCCGAGAAAATGATGGATATACTTTTGCAGCCCAGTTGCAGAGGTTACACATCAATATTGAGAATCTCCGGGAGGAGAAGGACAGAGAAATCACAAGTACTAGGGATGAATTGCTTAGTGCCCAAGATGAAATTTTGCTCCTTCATCAAGCAGCAGAAAAGGCTGCCTCTGAGCGGGACACTGACATTGCCTCTTTACAAGAAGAGCTTAAGAAGGTGAGAGCTGAGCTTGAGCGGTGGCGGAAAGCAGCATCTGAATATGAGAAAGAAATCACGAGTCTGCAAAACAGTTTTCAGCTTAGATGTCAACAGTGTGAAGACCAGCAGAGAGAGGAAGCAACAAGGTTGCAAGGTGAATAAATGTATTTTACATAAAACTCTTAACTTTTGACATTGATAACTTCATAACTTGTTTAAAAAAAACACCATGCAGGTTTTGCAGACTTTTTTTTCTTTGATATCAATCAGTTGTATAATCCAGTGTTTCTATATTGGAACTAAAAATGTATTTTCAGGTCTGCAAGTTCTACTTAAATTTATATTTTTACAGTTTTATATTTTATTTTAAAATTGTTAAAAATTGCTTGCCTTATAAAAGTGAAGTCGAAAAAAATACTATTCAAATACAAGCTGATATCACTCCTTGAGGTATACATGCAAAGTAACAGGAATCAAATAATTAACCATGTAAAATGTACATGCTTTTAAGGAGAAAAGTGATGTTCTTCTCTGAAATATTTTTCTTTATCCTTTGAAATATTATGGAAGTTATATTTCTGTATTAACAAATATGTTTTGGGACTATTTTAGGTGAACTGGAGAAGTTGAGAAAGGAATGGAATGCATTGGAAATTGAATGCCATTCTCTAAAAAGGGAAAATGTTTCACTATCATCAGAACTGCAACGGCAAGAAAAAGAATTGCACAAGTATGCAAGAACTCTGTTTTTCAGATATAAATATTTCCTTAACTTAAATTTTCATCTAAATTAAATTTAATTTTAATATTTAAATACTTTTCAGGAGTAAATGTTCAGCCAGTCTCTGTTTGGCTATTTGGCAGGTTAACCATACTGAATAAATACTTAAGCTTTTTTTTTTTTTTTTTCTTGCCACCACCATTATCCTGCATGTCCTTTCCTTGTATTCATGGAATACCGATTCATTAAATGTCCCAAGGAAACCCTGAACAAACAACAGAAGTCTGTAATTCATAGTTGAACTTGCCCTATAAATTAATGACTTTTAAATACCAATTGCTTTTCTTTCACACCAGTGATCTCTTCTTTTAGTAAGGGTGATCAGGAAGTGACTGTGATGAAGAATTTGTAAGGCTGGGTGCGGTGGCTTACACCTGTAATGCCAACACTTTGGGAGGATCCCTTGAGCCTGAGAGTTCAAGATCAGCCTGGTCAACGTGGCAAAACCCTGTATCTACAAAAAAATACAAAAATTAACTGGGTGTAGTGGCGCATGCTTGTAGTCCCAGCTACTGGGAAGGCTGACGTGAGAGGATTGCTTGGGCCCAGGAGGTCAAGACTACAGTGAACCACAGTCATGCCAGTGCACTCCAACCTGGCTGACAGAACCAAATCCTATATCAAACAAGCCAACAGAACAAAAGAGGAATTTGTACTATTGAAAGATAGAAATTAATTTTCTGAATTTCAAATAGGGTTATATGAAGAATAATAATACATAAGACCAAGAATTCTCTGAAACTTGTTAAATCTTTCTAGAATCTAATACTTTACAAGCAAATCAGTGAATGCATTAGATTTATTCCAGCAAATTTAGTGGAATTTACCATATTTAAGTTTAAAATTGGTTTATTCTGGCCAGGCATGGACAACATTATGAAACTCCATCTCTACAAAAAATGCAACAAATTAGCTTGGCCTGGTGGCATGTGCCTGTAGTCCCAGCTACTCAGGAGGCTGAAGTGGGAGGATTCCTTGAGCCCAGGAGGTGGGGACTGCACTAAGCCATGATCACACCACTTTACTCCAACTTGGGTAACAGAGCCAGTCCCTGTCTTAAGAAAACATAATTAAAAATAAAAACAAATGTTTTACTTTGTTTATAACATGTAAAACTTTATAAAAGCAATTTCAAAATATGAATGGGACAAAATAAAGGTCAAGACTATAAATATATATATATATATGTGTGTGATATATATCATATATGAAATATACATGAGATATATATACACATCTCATATATATCTATATGGAATTTTATTTTTTTTGAGGTAGAGTCATGCTCAGTTGCCCAGGCTGGAGTGCAGTGGTATGATCTCTGCTCACTGTAACCTCCACCTCTGCCTCCTGAGTAGCTGGGATTACAGGCATGCACCATCACGCCTAGCTAAATTTTTTGTATTTTTAGTAGAGATGGGGTTTCATCCTGTTGGCCAGGCTGGTCTTCAGCTCCTTACCTCAAGTGATCCACCCACCTTGGCCTCCCAAAGTGCTGGGATTACAGGTGTAAGCCACCACACCTGGCCTATATATAAAAATTAAGGAGGCTGGGTGGAGTGGCATGTACCTATGATCCCAGCTACTTAGAAGGCTGAAGCAAAAGGATCACTTAAGCCCAGGAGATCAAAGGTAGTGAGCTGTGATCACACCACAGCACTCCAAACTGGGCAACAGAGCAAGACTCTGTCTTTAAAAGAATAAATAAATAAAATAAGGAATGAATTGATTTTCTGTGTGACAGCACATTTGGATAAATTGTTTGGTATGAAGTGTGCGTAAGATTATGATGCAGATACCCAAGTTCTTTACATTTAGAATACATTAGGATATTAATACTGTTTAGTTTAATAATCTGCCAAGCAAGAAATACCCATTTTTTTGCCAGTGTTGCTTATCTTAGTTATTATTGTTCTGAAATTATTGATATTTTATTAAAGATTCAGGTTAGATCCCTTATTTTAAAGATGTGATTACTTGGAATCTGGCAGATTATTAAAGGCTGTTTTCAGTTATTTCAAGTTTTAAGTGTTGAAAGGCAAGCCTACAAACTCCTTGTGAGTAGAAGCATATGGTTTAAAAATATTAGGCCCCGGAAAGGTGGAATATATTAGATCATTGGTCAAATAATCTGCCTAAACTCACCTAAAGTATTTAAGACAGATTAGTTCTTTTTCTTAAACTTTTCTGATGCCCCAAATTTACTTGATAAGACTCCCCAGCATTTAAGCAGTATTTAGAAGCTAGTTTTCCTTTACAGGGTCTTATGTGTCATTTAATTCCTAGCTGTATTGGCTTGACAACATCAGACCCACTCCAAAGAATCTGTGAAGCATACAATCAGAACAGGATTCAGACTCTATAGTAGTTCAGTTACAGTAGTGAGTGTGATTTTTGATTGATCCATTTTGAAAGATGTAAAAGTGTCACCTTGAAAACCTTATACTCCTATAGCTATGTAGTGGAGCCAAATTCCCTTACACAGCTATACTATACAGACCTTTTATTCTCTGTTGTCTGGGCTATGGAAGAAGGAATTGAATAAGGAATTTCTCTTCACACATATCAAGCTGTTCTCCTCATATATTTTAAGTCAGATTTTTTTAACATCAAATTATAAAAGTGATCATAGCCGGGCACGGTGGCTCACGCCTGTAATCCCAGCACTTTGGGAGGCCGAGGCGGGTGGATCATGAGGTCAAGAGATCGAGACCATCCTGGTCAACATGGTGAAACCCCGTCTCTACTAAANGGAGGTTGCAGTGAGCCGAGATTGTGCCACTGCATTCTAACCTGAGTGACAGAGTGAAACTCCATCTCAAAAAAAAAAAAAAGTAAATCTTAATCCTCAGTATTAAAAGAAAATAATGATATACCATCTTTATATTTGACTTTAGAAAGCATCAATATATCTTGCAGTAAAACAAAGAAAAATTAAAAAAAAGAAAGCATCAATATATTTTAATTTAGTAGGAACATCTGTAATTGAAGAATTCATAGGCTGGGTACGGTGGCTCACACCTGTAATCCCAGCACTTTGGGAGGTTGAGGCAGGTGAATCACCTGAGGTCAGGAGTTTGAGACCAGCCTGACCAACATGGAGAAACCCTGTCTGTACTAAAAATATAAAATTAGCCAGGCATTGTGGCACATGCCTATAATCCCAGCTACTCAGGAGGCTGAGGCAGGAGAATCACTTGAACCTGGGAGGTGGAGGTTGTGATGAGCCAAGATCATGCTATTGCACTCCAGCCTGGGAAATAAGAGCAAAACTCCGTCTCAAAAAAAAAAAAAAAAAAAAAAGTGATCATAGAATTTAGCCTTGGAAGCAGCCTCAGAAGTTAATGAGTTCAATCCTGTTATTTGGCAGTGAAGGACACTGAGACTGTCCTTGTATTAGTTATGTCTATATAACATGGTACCTAATACAGGTCTAAGAGCTCAGAAAATGTTTACTCTGTAAATGAAATGTACCAGTTAAGTGACTTGCTTAACATCCCCCAGCTAAACAGTAGCAGAGCTGGGGGTGTCTAGAACTCAGCCTCCTACTTCTTTGTCTTATGCTCTTTTCTTAATTTGGTGTGTCTTCTCATTTGAATAGGTTTATCTTTACTTGAGTTGGCAGTGGCTCCTAAGCTTTAAGTTTCTGATCCCCATTCTATTTGTCAATTACTTAAACTTAGGAGAAATTGTTGAAATATTTGTATTCTTTTCCTGTAGAAGACCTACACTGAAACTTTTTATTATAAAATTAATACAATTTGATACAACAAAATATACAGTTAATTACCTTCTATTTTTTTTTTTAATTTTCAAGCTTTGTGTATATTTGATGGGATACACCTTTAAACTTGCATTTTTTTAGTGTTTTGATGCCTTTTGCGTATTGAATGAAAATATTTCATTCTTTTTTATACTTTTCTTTTTTTCTCTGAAATCCACTCTGTCCCTTCTAGTGAAATGTATAAGAAATTGGACTTCTTTCTGTATCCAGTTTCTACCTGTGAATAACTATCTGTCAATATTTATATTGCAGTTCTCAGAAGCAGAGTTTAGAGCTTACCAGTGATCTCAGCATCCTTCAGATGTCTAGGAAAGAGCTTGAGAATCAAGTGGGATCCTTGAAAGAACAGCATCTTCGGGATTCAACTGATTTAAAAACTCTTCTCAGTAAGGCTGAAAACCAAGCAAAGGATGTACAGAAAGAGGTAAAGCGAAAAGACATTATAAGCCCAATTATGGTTGGACTTAAAGCCAAAAGCAAATCAGATATCCATGCTAGTTAGAAATAAAGGCAAGTGAAAGTCACATTACCCATCACAAAATTGATACTTGGAACATCTCTGCTTGGTGATTTCTAGCTGCGTATTATGGTCCATATAGAGAGAATTCTTCAATAGGGTTGGTCTCAAAAATATGAATATACAAAACTACATTTTAATTTTTCTCTACAAGTTCAGTTATATGAGAAACCCTTTGTACCAGGTCTCTCGATTTATTGTTTAACTTTGAAAGAGAATATCGTATGTAACTTAGAATACTTTTGGAAAGCAAACTGAGGCCATAATATAATGCTGTCTGAACCCCTCAGGTAAATAATGGCCTGACAAGTTACTAAAATTCGCCTAATAGCCAGGCAGCCAACCAGACACATGTTCTGTGGCCTTTTATTTTCTTCCTCCTACCCCCTTTTCACCTTATTCATAAATGTGCATGCTCACTTTTCATGTCATTCTGCTTAAAACCTTGACTTGAGTAGTGCTTTTTAAAAATTTGTGTTGAAGTCATAAAGGTTGACTTTGGAACAGAAACCCTACCCAATTTCTTCCTGAGCAAGATAAGTATATTTCACTTCCCAAAGCCTTGAAGTTGACAGCAGGGCAGTAAGAGCTGCCTTCAGTCCTGCTGGCCTCATACCACTCCCTGCATTGACTCCTGGCCAGCTCGGGAGATGAGGAAGGCTGATACAGCTTGATCTGTAGATCAAGGACCACCCCAGTTGTAGACTTTCTTAAAAGGATTCTTTATGAATTAGAAGGAAGCTGAAGACAACTCTTTGTCTTTAATATTAAATGAACTTTCCCAAAGTTGTTTCTAGAAGATCTGCTTAATCAATGCAGTTTTTCTTTGCACTTTTCTTTCCTTGTAGTTTCCTAAATTTGGCAATGATTGCTTTTCTTCTGTCTTTATGTTTGTTCCTAATGAAAAAATACTGTAAAATTTTTTTAATTTCTTGTGGACATATCAATTTTGTAATGTGTTCGTTTTTACCTTACTAAAGATATGTGTTTTAGAAGAAATCTCATTTTATTTGGTTGGAACACAAATTTTGTGCCAAAGTAAATATCTTGGTATTTAATACTGTAAGCACTTTGTGTCCTTCCAGTCCATATGCCATAATTCTTTCAAACTCTGGGAAGAATGCTGTGGTTGGAAGATTATTCTGTTGTATGTTACTATGAACGCATTAGCCATTTTGTTGCATTAATTGTTTGCCTGTTTGTGGTCACTGAGTAATCAGTGCAAAATGCTTTAACTGTTTCCACAAATGGCAGTGGCATGTTGTCACAGCATCTTAATTGTTGATAGTCTTGGATTGCATTAAATGCAGCACATTTAAAAATATGTCTGATCTTGTTGGTATGTTTCTTTTCTATTTTCTTGTTCACTGGTTTCCATTGTGAAATGATGTGTACTCATCACACTCCTTTGTAATGTGAAATTGCTCTTTCTGTTTGTCCAGATGTCAACATGTTGGATACTATATACTATAGTTTAGTTATAGCTATATACTATAACTAAAATGTTCTTTAATGAGATTCCTATCTCTGTCTTCATGTTTGAAGTAATCCACTGCAAAGGAATTATTGCCTTTTATTAATGCACACATATTCCCCTTCAACATTTCCCCTTTGTTCTCCTTTCTTTCACAGAATCATGCTTAATATGCACAGTATCTAATTATGTATTTTCAGCGTTGTAACAGGCTAAGAGATGACAAGCTAAGCAAGCCCAGATAAGATTCTTTTTATGAAGAACAACCAAGGTGTTGGTAATATGGTGTGATATTTCCCTCTTAATCAGGACCAAGCTCGTTTGTCACCTGAGAGTTAGCAAGATGGAGCAAAAATGATATCCAAAGCAAGGCTGCAATAGATGACCTTTGTTCCACAAACTGAAATTTACATGTGTGGCAGCTTTTATATGAATATTTCACAAATAAAAAGTACATGCAAAAAGGAAATCTTGGCCGGGCGCAGTGGCTGACACCTGTAATCCCAGCAGTTTGGGAGACCAAGGCAGGTTAGGAGTTCAAGACCAGCCTGACAATATGATGAAAACCTGTCTCTACTAAAAATACAAAAAGTAGCCGGGTGTGATGGCATACGCCTGTAATCCCAGCTACTCAGGAGGCTGAGACAGGAGAATCACTTGAACCAAGGAGGTGGAGGTTGCAGTGAGCCGAGATTGTGCCACTGCATTCTAACCTGAGTGACAGAGTGAAACTCCATCT